GCGTCTCAGTCCTCGGCTTCCGACCACTACCCGCCTGTGTTTCCTCCCTTATCTGCACCTCAACATCTTTCTGGGCTTGCAAATCCTGTCCATCTTGTATAGTAAGCGATTCTCCTTGCCGTAGCCGCTGTTTTTTTGCTCTCCGGTGCTTTCTTAATGCCTCATTCGCCGCCTGTAAGTCCCGTATCTCCGTTTGCATTAACACCATCTTATGCATCATTTTCGACGTCCCTTTCGCACGAACATCAACAGCTTTTAAGATTTCAGTCGGAGAGCTATTTTGATGCTGGGCAATTCGGGTCTTGATGAGAGTGGTCTGTGAAGATGCTTCCGTTGGGTTATTCGGCGTCTTGGAAACCCAGGCGTGGGCACTACCTCCTGGATCCCGTACTTTGCGATTGTGTTCCGTACAAGTACAAACCAGCTACAAATAATCCCTAAATCTTTGCATAGGGCTCTCTGGTAGTCGTTTTTTCGGTTAAAATGCATGGTGAGTTCTGGCTGCCGTTTGACGAAGGTTGAAGCCTAGTTGATTCCAACGCGTCGCACGTCGCGTTCGGCAAGCAGTCGATTGGCCATATCTTCCACACCAAACAAGCGAGGGGGAAACCCTTTGAAATCTAGTTCGAAGATGTAGTGAACAATAACGGATTCTTCCAAGTCCGTCAATCTCCGCGAGTTGGCCGGAATGTCGCGTCGTGATTCTTTACCGCGTCTCCGGCGACCGAGTTGCGTGTGATCCACAGAATAGATCCTAGCTGCAGCTCTTAAGCTTAACTTCGAATCATTTTGTAATGCCTGTAAGGCCAACTGCACTTGGGCTTCGTCGTTTTTTTGAGGCATGTTGCGTTGTGGATGAAAATGGAAAAGAAGAGAGAAGACGAATGGGTGTGATTTCGTGGGGCTTTCGCCCGTGTGGGGCTTTCGCATGTGGAACACGTTAGTTATATTGTAAATAATTAATTCTTAATAGCATTGCGCTCGTGCCTTGCGGGGTGTCATACGGTCGACTGGTGGTTTGTTCCGGGTTTGGAGGTCAAACGGAAAGGGCGGCAGTTCGTGATGCTGTGCTAGGTGAGGAGGTGATGTACATACATTGGTCATAATTGTACAGGGTGCCAATCCTTCTCGTCAGCCGAGCAGTCGAAGGACTGGCACCCTGTAGAACAGAGTAAAAGTCCCGTCGCGTCCTGACTTCTGTTCTCTCCCACGTCCGAGTCAACTGTGGGGCCAAACACCACATCACCAGGTGTTCAACAGTCTCCCGCCCTTCGCCGCACTCACAGCAGGGCGTCAGCACACTTGGGACTCCCCGTTTGAACAAGAAGTCCCGAAGGCCCATGTCCCCAGTTTGGACTTGGGCCAACAACAACGAGCTCTTCGCTTTGCTCAGTCCCTCGTGCTTCTTAAGAGTCTTGTCCTTGAATAGAGTCTCCCGTTGGTGGTCGAGGTCATCCGCTGGTCTCGTCGTCGCCCGACCGTCTCGTTCCTTTAGCCATCTCTCTCTCCAAGCCTCCTCGACTACCCTGTCCGTGTCGGTGGTTCCCCGGTCCAACGCGCTACTTACTCCTGCGGCCTCTTCTACCGCTGTCGGCCTCTGTGGCCTTAAGGCCCGTGGTCGGCCCCTGTTGCTCGGCCTTAAGGAAAACCTCCGGTAATAATGATAATAATTAGCAGCTTGTGGCACAATCGACTCGAAGGCTCAGATATCTTGAAGAAATTACAAACGGGATATAGTATTGAACTTTTACCAATGCTCGGGCTTGTCTACATTCGTAGGCCTCGGCGGCCTTCTCACCTCAAATCCCTTTGGGTAGGCTGCATTTCCCCTAACGAGGCCTTCCATCCCGTCAACTGGCCGCGCACGTCCGACACAACCCGTCTAACGGTAGATGGTTGCTGCCGCAGCATCTGTGTAGGCGCAGCAGTAGTAGCAGAGGCACCGCCGCCTCCAATAGTTTCAGCACGTTGTGGGCGGCCGTGGCCGTAGTACAAGTCTGCCTCGCGGAACGAGTAGTCGGACCACTGCGGCGAAAGCGGCGTGGTGCTGGTGACGGAGGCTGCGACGGTGGTGATGGTGATGGGCGAGCTTTCTTCTTGTCTTGAGGGGGAAGGGGAGTCCGGTTTTGATATTGACTGGCTTGTGGAGGAGTGAGGAGGGGTGGTGTTTGAGGTTGGGGGAGGAAGGGTGTTAAAGTATGTCGCGTCGGGACGACGCAGGCTGCCAGACGAGCGTGGTGGTCGGAAGTAGTGGTGCTGGGGCACCGCTCGAAGGTACAGCCTGTCGGGCGCCGAGTTGTGGTCCACGTAAAAGCTGATACTGCTGACGTCGTTGGGACTGCGTTGGTTGTGGCTATAGTAAGAGGCCGGAGAGTCTGGCCGCGTCGTGTTGGAGATGCTCGGGGGTGGAGATGACAAATCGTTGATGGCGTCGCTGCGCCGTCTGAGCTGGCTCAGTCCGTATATCTACGGCGTAATGACCCAGTTAGTGATTTGTTAGCGGGTGCTACATCATGGATTACCAACTCACCTCTGGTTCGTCAGCAGACGTCCCGGTCTTCCAAACGAGGCCGACGAGGCGGATGGTTGCCGGCACAGCACACCCAAGCGCCAAGACAGCCGCATGGATTCCGAGGATAGCGATGGCGACACGGCTCCTCACCGATATGCTCATGTCTAGCTCTGGGAGAAAGACGGTCGAAAGAGTGATGACCACAAGCCGGGCAATGCCTGACCACGTAAAAACGGACAAGACTCGTCCCCTCAGCGGCCGAAGGACGGCGGTGCTGACGAGAAGCGCCAGCTCGATCAAAGCAAGGACCAAAACCTGCGCGAGAGGCGAGAACTGCAGCCCTCCTGCAGCGATGCCCCGCGCAAAGGCTAACACGAAGAAAATAACGGCAAAGATGTCGCGCTTCTCGCCCAGGTGTGCCGAGCCGGACTCGGAATCCGAAGGGTTAATACTGAGCCGGCGATACCGCTTCGATGGGTCAAGAAGCAGGGCCCCAAGCTGGTTTGACGGCGCAATGCGCCAAATCCACGTCAGGCCGACTACCACCAGCACCATTAGCAGCGTCGCAAGGGCGAGGTGGTATGCCGGTAGAATCTCATTGTCAAGCTGGTAGGCCGAGATAGCGACAATAGGGGTGATAAAATAGCTGAGGACCATCCGCAGCACATTCCACGTTCCGAGGATGATAGCCGACTTGTTGGAGACCAGGCCGTCCTCGCCATTGTTGTCTTGCAACGATGAAAAGCCGAGAAATTGCGGGACAAATCGGTAAGCCAGCATGAATAGGGTGGCGACCGCGGTGATTATGGCGGCGAAGACGACCATGTTCCGCCAGACATCCATTGTCAGCGGGCCACCTGTAAATTGCGACATGAGCTCCAGCCCGTACGACCCCGTAAGCGTGCCATTGACCTCGTAGACGCCGTCGCTGACCCCATCGTACCATCGGCCACCAAAGGGCCCGCTAGGGGCTGACCCCATCGTACCATCGGCCACCAAAGGGCCCGCTAGGGCTGAAGAGGGCCGACCAGTGCACCAGGCCAGTGAGTGGCTGGTAGAATCCAGGGTACCGTAGTGTGAGGGCGCCGAGGAAGAAGATAAACTGAAAGTAAAGCAGGCAGTCGCCGACCCCCGGAAGTATGGCCTTTTCAACGACTTGTTGGTGATTTTCGTTCGGTGCCGCGTTCGCTGCCGCTGGACGTCTCACCGGCCTTATTGACGCGGAAAGAGTGGCGAAAAGACCGAAGACAAAGACGAGCAAAAAGATGGCGATGAGCCCGTACCGTACCGCGGCTGACACATCCTTTGGTAGTTGAGGTGTGATTTCGAAATATACACAGGCCGACGACGCCCAGCTTTTATCGCCCTTGTTGCCCACCGAAAATGCCACTTGTGCCGAAAACGCTGGGAGGACCCCGAGCACGCCGAGGTCATGGTGCACGAGGAGCTGAACTAGGGATTCTCGGCCCGCCAGATACCTAGGAAAATCATGATTTTAGCTTTCGAACAAGGAGAGCACGTAACAGGGGACTCTGAGAGCGAGACTTACCTTTGTTCCCAGGCCGGTCTCTCCCAAAACGACAAGCACGTAAAATTCGACGGGCGAACGGTATACGTCTCGGACAGTCCCAGCGCCTCAAGACCAATGACCACGTCGGATGGGCCATCCTGGAGCAACTCGGCACACGTCGCCTCGCCCATGTAGTCGGCTCGGACGGCCAACTCCAATGTCATGCCATTCTGCAAAGAAGAGTCGTTGGAGAAGAGAAGGCGTACCCGAGTCGATGTCGGCCACAAATTCTCAAATCCTAACCTGCCTCCGCTTCCGTCAGAGCAGCGTAGCCACTGGACATGTGCCGCGTCTGCTATCAACGGGGTGAAGGTAAGGAGGACGGTGAGTACAGAGAATATTGAGGATAGGGCCGGCAGACCGGCGGCTTTCTGCACCATGGACGATGCCTGGACTCCGTGGAAGAACGGTGTTTGATAGCAGAGTAAAGAGCTGCTTGAGAGGGGGACAAAGGAAAGAGAGAAATTAACACTTTTGTGAACCAGGAGAGGCAGAAGAATAGTTTCTTCGGAAAAGAAACAAAAAAAAACGAAAAAAAAAAAAAAAACTGTTGGGTTTTTCCGCGAGTTAGTTGTCAGCATTACCCAGAGGAGAAAACAGCCAGCAGACAAAATATTTCAGATCTTCTGAAGATGGGAAAATACGAGCTTGGCTAGGGAAGTTAGCCGGGATGTAGATCGTGGAGAGACACCTTGAACCCTATCCCTCGACGAGGTTACCTGCGCAACAACATCCAGGACCCCCTTTCTTTCTCATCCCAGCCCAACTCCACAACAACCTCCACCATAGCCCACAGCATCATGGTCCACCACAAACCCTCTCTCACAAAAAGAGAACAGAAGATTAAAACTCTGACAACAGACTCTGCTCTCCAACAATCCCTGTCGGAAACCACACACGACTCCCTCTGAGGATGAATCGGGTATGGTGTAGCGGTAACATCGCTGACTCTCATTCCTCGCCAGTCGAAGAAGAGTCCTCAGCAGCCCGGGGTTCGACTCCCCGTATCCGAGTTTCTTTTTCCCATTTTCCCCATTTTTTCCTTTTTGAGACCCGTTGGAAGTTGGCTGTGACATCCGAGAGGTGTGACGGTCTGTCGTGCATGATCTCCTAGCAGCTGGCCCCGACCAGGGCAGAACACAACCTGAGACACAAACCACGCGCTCGGAAACGGATTCTGCACCATCTCCAAACACAAAACAAAGCTGTCCCTCTTGAGAGTTCCCGACTAAGCGGGCGGCACGTGATTCGGAGAATACCAGCGGCTCGGAGATACCTCGCTGTGTGCGACAACGCCACCACTTGTCACAACAACCTGATCGTGACACCCAGCAGACCGGACGACCACGCGAAAATCTCAACACCATCAGGCAACTTCGAGATGCAGTCGGGAGTAAGCTGACGACGGGATGCAACACACCCACATCGATGCGGCTCTGCCATGCTAGATGCCAGATTCGCGATCGCAAGGTAAAGTATATCATAACTTCATGATCATTAACGTCCTGCCTCGTCTACTATGCAAAATGTGCTGTTTCCTTTTCCTTAAAAAGCAATCCCCAACCCCCCTCACAACCGCTCACTCAACGTCTCCAACGACAAGATCTCTTCCGGCCTCAGGCTCAACCCCTCGGGTATCTTAACCCTCCCCCTCCTAATAATAATCTCCCCTTCCCTCCCAGACATAACTGACGCGATCCTCGCCAGCCGTCCACCCATCTCCAAATCGCCCCCCAGCGTCCCACTCCCACTGCTCTCCCCGCCACTACTACTCCCACTCTCTTCCTCAGCATCCTTCCCATCCAACGTCTCCGAACTCCTCCTGCGGTGCGTGTGCGGGTGCGGGTGCGGATGCGGATGCGGATGCGGATGCGGCACCTTCTCCCCCTTTTCCGGCTCCGTCTCAACCTCCCCCTTCCAAAACATCCCTGTCTCGGCCGGACTCCACCAATAATACGGAAACCGCCTCTGCACATTATTCACCAGCAATGCCACAGCCAGCATCAAACAACACCCCAGTAACAATGGCAAAAACAAAAACCACCCCAGCTCCGCGACATCCTCGTCCAGAACCGCCATCAGTGCGGTTGCGCCTGCGGGGGGGTGGACCGTGCCGGTGAGGGCCATGAAGGCGGTGGCGCAGGCGCAGGCGAGGGAGGCACCCAGCCAGCGCACGGCGGCGAAGTGAGGCGAGAGGGCGAAGAGCTTGGCAATGGAGATGCCGGTGAGGGCGGAGACCATTTGGCCGAGGATGGCGTTGCGGGGTTGGGCGAGAGGGGATTCAATGGCGTAGAAGTCGAGGACTGCGGCAGCGCCCTGGGTAAGGGTATGTTAGTCTGAGGGGGTGCATGCTAGGTGGGGGCGGAGGTGGGGGCGGGGGGAAGTACAAAACTCCCGATGATGGTGGGCACACCGCGGCCCTGGAAGGCGGGTACGTGCAGCCCCACCGCGCCGATGATCGCTAGGCTGCTAAAGACGCCGACGACGGCCCAGAAGATCATGGCCAGGTTGCCGATGGGGTGGGTTGGGGCATGGGTGCGGTACCCGAGAAAGTGGGCGACAAAGGAGGGCAGGTAGGGCAGGGCTGAAGGGGGCACGATGGGGTTGGCGTGCTTGTCGAGGTCGAAGTGCCAGCGGGACGGCCCGCGGCGTGGCTGGGAGGGGTGTTTCATCGCTGTTGCTCTAGGGGTATCGTGGGGGGTATGTAGGGATGGTGAAGAGATGTTGTTGGTTGAGAAGGAAGCTGATCTCTAGGTCTGATAGGTATTGGGTTCGTGGGTGAGAGAGAGCAAGGTGTTCAGCGATGATGCGAAGCCGACGTCGAGGTGGAGGCCGTCCCGTCCGCCCCTCGGGGAGGGAGAAAAAAGGAAAGGGAGTGTCGTCGGGGTGTGGTGCCCTGGCTCAGTGCAGCAGAAACGACAAACTCAAAAAATGATGTTCAACGTCAAACCAAAACCCCAAGTCTGGCAGGTCAAGCCACAAAACTGGGAGCGACCCGGGGGCCGGAACCGAATTATACAGTCCGAGAAACAAACAAGCATCCTGCTCCCAGGTCGCCTTCGCACAGTAACCCCGAGGGAATCCCATGGCAGCCAGCCATGTTGCCATCACAGTCTGGCGGCACGAGCACGCAGGCCTCTCAGACACATCAGCACCACAGCGGTTCCCAGGAAAAAGCTCGACCCGTGACAAAGGGTTTGCATCTCGCGAGCCAACGGTGTGTGCCTTCGTGCCGGGCGCTGGCCCAGAATTTACGTCAGATTTGCTAACAGAAACCCCAATGTGGTATAGCGCCGGGAAGGCTGTTCAAGGTCAGGCACGCTGAGGTCCCGAGGCCCCTGCGCCCGGAGCGTGTTTGCAAGGATATTTCCGCGGAGCGGTCGAATCACGGCAGATGCTGGGTCTTTTCTCGATGAACTTGGGTGGAAATTGGCTGGTGTTTTCGAGACAAGAGTCGACGACTGAAGCCTTCGAGAAGGAAAGATCGAAGCCACAGCCCCAACAGCCCTCAGCCCACAGCGCGACCCATGCGGCTGGGCTGGACCCACTTGGGGCGTCTGGCAGCCTTAGGCAGCTGCTGGCGACAGCCAAGGTCTGGGGAAGGCGCGGCAAGTGGACGCCCTTCCCGTTGGGCTGCGTCGATCCTGGCGCATGCCCGATGCGGAAAGACCTGCCTGGACTCCCAGTGACTCCTCCAGCTTGCTGCTTCGAAGCTTCTTTCCGGGCAATTGTCTTCCGCGGAGGTCGTTGACTGGTCGACACATTCATCATTTACCCATCTCAGATCCAGTCAGCTCACAGATCTCGCCCCTCGCTTTCGGCGCTCGCTTCAGGTTTTCTTCCATATTGACCGTGGGCACTCACCAACAACCACAAGTGACGGAACAGCTGGGAAGGGAAAGCTATTTTCGGCGCTAACATCCATGTCGTTGTCTCTTCTCGGCCCGCACATTGCCCGGAAATGCGGCATCGACGCGGGCGAGCCTCGGGGAAGTGGCTCCGGTCCACCCTCAGCTTTTTTCACGTCGTAACGCTGCCACCCGAAGCAACCCAGCATTCCAGACCGTTGGGCCACGAGCAAGACACCATACACCGCAGGCACCACGACAGACAAAATCCCCGATTCATTCCGGCCCCGTGGCGTCCCGGCGGCGGCAGAGGTTTGGTTCGGTCCTGTCTCACGTTGCATCGACAACGGTTCATTCCTGGACAGCAAGAACCATTCGTCCGGCCGCGACAGACCCGAAATTTGTTTGCGGAAGCGAACCTGCGAAACGCGAGGAGATGCCAGCACCCAGGGGTTGAGTGCGTCGGGGGCAGCGAGGCGGCGATCTCATTTGGATGATGGCATTCCTGAATCCTGGTTGATGCAACCAGCCTCCCTTCCCGCTGGCCTTCCCGCTGGTCTTCCTCCAGTCTACCTCAACGCGCCCTGGTCGCCTTGTCCAATTGATACACGTCCCCGTTATTTGATGAATCGTCCAAACTCTGAGGTTGGCTCCGCCGCAGCCATGAGCCTCCTGGCCTCCTCAACCGGCGCCCATATGTGTCCCAGCCCGTCGCCCACCTCTTCCTCCGTCAAGCTTAGCTTGCCGCTTTCGTCAACCAGGTCTGCGGGTGTAGCAGTACGACATCTGCCAAAGATCAAACCAAAATTCCCTTTGTGGTCGCGACGCCCTTCCCCCTTCCCTCCCCGCACGGAGCTTGATCAGTCCACCAGTCTCCTCTTGGAACTCGCGCTTGGCGGCCGCCTCATGCTCTTCGCCTGGGTCAATCCCGCCGCCGCCGCGGAGCTTGTAGTAATTCTCCCGCTTGGCGTAGATGATGGCTACCTCACCCTTGGCATTGAAGGCGACCACGCGCACGGCTTGGCGGTCGGTGTAGGACATGGCGGGATCTTGGCTGCCATACTAGAAGGGCTGGATGCGAGATTGCAGTGCGTAATTTGGACCTCAGATGACGCGCGTGGGAGGGCACAGATGAGACAGCGGTGAGGCTTGAGGGGTATTGGTTGATGTTAGTCTGCGGTGTGGCTGCGCCAACAACCAACAGGACGCGACTAAAAAGAAATCCAAAGGCAAGCCCGCATGCTCCAATCGCCTGCTGACCTCACAGTATCAAGTCGTACAAACGCAACCACCACCATTTTCACCATCATCAACGCCCACCATTAACGCCCACCATCAACACCTCACCTCGAGCTGCCCCGCCTGGTATGTCTCATCCCGGGACTGCTTCAAAAACGGTAACAACGCGGTCCCCCAGTGCCCGTCAACTCCCTCCCCAACCGCCGCCTCCTTCCCGCCTTCAACTTCGACGACGCCGTCGCCAAGTTCACCCCGTATTCGGATTCGGCTGCCGCGACGGCACGATGATATACCTTGCCACCATCTGCAGGTGCTTATTCCTAAACTCCCCAGCGCCTTCGTCGCCGTCTCAAACACCTCCTGCACCTCCCCAACCCTTCCCCATCTCTTCCCTCCAAACCTCGCCAACAACTCCCCACACCCTTCCTCATCCCTCCTGGATACCTCCCTCCACCGCCTCCAAAAACATCCGATGCTTCTCCGGCATATACCCCTCACCTCCTCATGGAAACTCATCTCCCTCTCCCCTTACCCTTCCCCCATTCCCTTAACCCCATCAGGCTGGCTATTCCCCTTAACCCCATGCTCAACCCCAAGTACAACATCCAGAAACTGAATTAGCGAACTCTGCCCGTTACTACCCCCGCGAAGCTGGCGCCAGGAGCCTTTGCCTTCGCCTTCGTCGTAGAAGACGCCCCGCGGTAGCCCGGCCGAGGCCATGTTCTTGCTGCCGGCTAGGAAGGGGCGGATGGCGTGGTAGAAGACGGGGGGGCGGCAGTGCGTGTCCATGCGGTCTAGGAGGAGGCCGAGGGAGTGGATGCAGGTTGTTAGGGAGTGGAGGGCGGTGGTGATGAGGTGGTAGCCAATGGTAGGGGTTGCTGTAACGGTGGTGGAAGTTGTGGTGGAAGGGCTTGATGTCGAAGGGG